CATAGGGCTGTGAGCGGTCGTAAACCCGACTGTGTGCGCGCGCGAATACGTACAAGACTTATCGATTAGCGATCACGTGCGAGGCAGGCTAGGTTGGCAAAAAAAGCGCATGCGTGAGAAAGCAGGGCTCTGTTCGTGTGCAGACGTGGTACGCGAGGGGTCTTCAGCCGCGCTGGTGCTCCGACGCCAATAAAGTAGGACGCGTTTGGACCCGGTGTTAACCTGAATTCCTTGTATCCGGTTAAGGAGAAATGCATAATCTGTGTAAAATCGAAAGAGGAACCCACATAAAAACCACCTTAACTACCCTTCTTTGGAAAGGGGAGGGGGGTGGGGCGGGGATACCATCGAAATGTTTTTGCAGCGAGTACGCGCAGTCCCATTAGACCGTTCAGACAGTTTGACGATACTTCATCGAGCGGGCAATGATTCAAGACTCCCACGATGTCCTGAAGTATTTTTTACTTGACATCCAGTTCACAAAGTAGACAGCAAAACACATCCAACTGCGGTTCTTTTACGCTCTCTTTCATCGTAAACTTTAAAAAGACGGTCCATAGGAGGGCCACCAATACGCGCTAAGCACTGCGCCGGTTTCGATCGGGGATATACACAATGGTAGATAGGCGCTCACCGATAAACTTTTCCAAAAAGACTAGTGGCCCCAGTAATGCCATCCTCCTTTAATAGCCCACATTTATATATTTGGGAGACTTCAATTGAGTCGACAGGTTGTACCACCCTCGCCCCCCTTCCCTCCCAGAGATGAAGCCTCCGAGTTCCGAAACGAAAGAAATCTTTGGTATCGTATCCACGAAATTCGTTCAGTGCGTCACGGAGAAGTGTTCTTAGTTTAGGTTTGAAAAAAAAAACGCAATTGGGTTCAACGAATAAAAGAAAGCTGAAAGGGGCTGCAGACAAGGGGTAAATCTTCGGCTAGCCTACCATCAAACAGCTTCCCGTTGGCCTGCTATCTTGCCGGTGAGACCAAGGTGAAAGCCGACGAAGCGGCAAGCAACGTCCAAATCGATTCTTGGTTGTTGTCCACTATCGGACAGCGTCAGGTCGGCAGACTGGCTGGACAGATCCGAATTGCCGCGGGATTTAGCCGCCGGTTTGCTCTTGGCGGTTGTCGGAGGATTACGGGAAGCCTGAGGCACAAAATAAAGCACAAATAAGATTAGGAGGACCGCTGTAGTTACTTCTGAGGTAGAACGAAGAACCAAGGGGCATTTTATTATTATTTAAAAATGTGCCCAAACAATCTGTATGGAGTTTTCACTGATGGAAAGACAATCAACGTGCGATTCGTACAAAATTGGCCTTAGTAGACAGGTTCTGTGATATATGCAGGCGCTACTTAAAAAAGTATGGTTAATGTAAGGACACAGGAGCTCTGCTAGTGCCCCTCAAAATGCAACGGGTCTACTTATATTTCAGATGATAGTCGTAGATGTAGTAGACAAATCAGGCAGAAAGTGACCTCGCCCTGAAATATGTGGCCTGCTTCACTAGGGAAGTATAAGAGTTCAAAATGAATTAAAATAGTGGACGTTACAACTTTCGGTATTCGTCAACTCATGCGGCAATCAATAAGGCAACCG